CTAAGAACTTTTCCAATGGCCTTTCAATGTTCCTTGCTCGGATTACTAGTAAACCTACTAAGTTTATTAAATGCAAATGCTATGTCCGGTCTTATGCATTGCGTTGCATACATTAGACTCCCTATAGTACTTGCACATTCCAATTGAGCAATTTATCTTCCATCATTCTTTATAAGTTTTAAACTTAGATCAAGAGAGGTATTTAATTCTTTTATGTTCAAATGTTTGAACTTATTAATCACATTCTCAATAAAATGTGACTGACTCAAGTGAAAAGTCCACTAGTTTTTGTAACTTTGATATCCAATAGGTATCTACTTGTCCAAGATCTGTCATCTTGAATGTGGAACATAGAAACGTCTTCATTTCTTTGATTTCATCTATGTGATTACTCATAATCAGCATGTCATCAACATACAAGTAAATATATATTATATATTCATCACACACTTTATAATATAAACATTTATCTACACTATTATTTATGAAACCAAATGAACTAATAGCTAAGTCAAATTTCTCATGTCAGTTATTAGATGCTTGCTTTAAACCTTAATAACGATTTCACTAACTTAAAAAATATTTGCCCCCTCAAGGATTGAATTTGATGCTTAAAGAGATATTGACAAATGGTTTGTAGGATTAATCAAACCTTGCAATAGAAAAATACTTAAGTACTTAAGAGTTTTCTACCAAAACTTCAAAAACACTTTGAAGGAAATTCGAATATGAAAGAAAGAATATAAATTCTATCTTTTAGAACGAAGATTTGATCTCAAGTTGTTTGAAAATTATTTATTAATGTAATAATCTATCATGTATTTATAAATTTCAATGAACGCCCACGAAATAGTGTCAAAAAATATGAAAAGTTATAAACTTTTCACCGAAGGCCACCAAGAATTCAAACAAAAAATAGCCTTAACAGCTATTTTACATACGCGACCGCATAAAACAAACATATGCAGTTGCATAGGTTAATCACTTGCAGGGCATATACGCCCTAAATATCTTCATGCGACCGCGGGCCACAAAGGCCTATGCGGTCTCATGCTCCAAATTATTTCTTCATTCCAAAGCCTATTTTGTTGATTTTGAACAATAATTTCAACAGACTAGGCATTTCAAAAGTGATCGTCACTCGCACATGAATTACACGATTAATTGCTATGAAATTGTTTGTTTTGTCGTTGATCTGCCAAGACGTCATCTATTTTTGAATTTTTTTGGAAACCAATAAAGCGTCACCAACCACGTTTTAATGGTGAACTACCGTTCGATAAAGTAATAAAAGCTGGCATTTCGGTCCCTATTTATCAAAAGTCGACAAAATGTAGATAAGGGGGAGCTATTCGATGTACCTATATATTATTTACCATTTAAGATAGGCGACCACTGTATTTGAAAGCCCCGGTTAATAGTATTTTAGGATTTCAAATGCAAAACCACTCGACACAAACTACATAATGCAAAACATTTCGATCTTAATCAACCCCTATTATAACAAATGTTGGGTCCACATAGATCTTTTCGCCACTCTCTTCATGTGTGCTCTTACTAATCCTATATAATTATTGAGAGTCGGGAATACTTTTTCGCATTTATAATCCTATCCTACATAATTATTGAAAGCCGTGAATCCTTTTTCGCTACTCCATTCGAGAAGGCCATAACTAATCTTGTACGATTATCGGGGGCCACGACCAAACATTAATTGAATGACAATAATACCCTTGATAAAGCCCCAAAAATGACTAACCTTGCCCTTCTGTTCTGAAACCACACCTCCACTTGTCTTGGTCTCAAATTTAGCTGATTCGCCAAAGTCAATTTTTGCTTCTGCAAACACACGAGCACACATTAGCATGAAAAGCAGTAGCTATTAATAAAACACCCTTGACCCACCAAAAAATTTTCGAAAATGCCACTCACCGGTGTGAGAGTGTTCTGTTCCTTGAAAGTCTCTTCAAGCACCGCTCCTTGTTCTTTAGTCAGCCGAAGCTTCTTCCTCCCGGTGTCGTCGCCACCGTCCTCGTCCACCTCCATAGAACTCGAGGCCCTCTCCGCCTCATTCTCTTCTCTTTCACTTCTCTTCCCACTCAAACTTGAGACTGTACTATTTGGAGATGAAACCATCACTTCTTCCTCAAGGTCTGCTACAGTTATCGGTTTATTCATGTCAATCGCCCGGAGAAACGATCTAGCCTCAACATGCCGATCTAGAATATCAGATTAATTTTTTAAACAAAGTTAGATTTAATTTACATGCAAAAGATATGATTTTGTGAACTAACTTATAATCTGAAGGAAATCTAGCATAAGCAGATTTACTAAAAAAGAATATATGAAAATGTAAAAATAATTAATGAACCATTCCAAAGAAGATTTACCAGCAGATAATTGAAACGGATCAGTGCTTGAAGACTTTTGGTTCTGCGGCTGCATGAAATCCATAGGAGATTGAATCAGACTCAACGGAAACGGTGGCGGCGGCGGATTATCATTCTCTTGGCATCCCAAACTCAAACTTAAACTCAACCCTAAATCATCACATTTCTCAGCCATCTTCAACCCTCGTCTCTATTTCTAGAGCTATACATATAGGTCAGGTCCAGATGAAGAAAATAAACAGAGAAATGGGATGTTTACAGAGCAATACAATATATAGATACAGTAAGGATGTATAGATACAAGACAGATATTCAATTATAAGTTGTGTCAGAGACAGAGCTATTAATTGGGTGGATCATTTGATTTCCTTTTGCATTTGCACGCCCACTTTCGCTAAATCAACAGGGGACAGTCAGTGCAATACTACTGCCTTCTGTAACTGAGACACTAAAGACCTGTTTGTTTCCTCAAAACCTTAATTAAAAATTCCATTTTTTTCATTTTTAACAAGTAAATAGGAAAACAAAGCGGTATATTTTAATTTCTTCCCGCAACTATCCCAAATGTTGCTCTCGGAAGGCAGGGGACAGTAAGGGCCACCCCAGCCCTGGCCCGCCATTGTCCTATTTTTTTTTGCTCGTTGGTACTATAAAATAATCATATCAAACAAGCTAAAAAATTTTAGAATAATGTTTGGTGTACATCATTTTTTACAGCCCTCTCACATAGGGGTGGGGCCCACAATTTTAAAAATCTCGAGTCCCACCCCCAATGTGAGGGGGTTGTCAAACTGAATATACACCAATGTGTACATATTGGTGTACATTCGGCATTATTCAAAATTTTATATGATTTATAGTATTTATAAAATGTGAGTCCTAATAATAATATTAATAATTGTCGTGGGTACTACAAAAATTTTAAATAAAAGTACATATAATTTAAGTTGTATCAAACTACTAACAAAACAATAATTCAAGATGAGTTTCCATGACGACCTTGTGAAACAATATTAATAAAATCAAACCATTCATAATTTTTTTTTAAATAAAAAATCGATTTAAAAGTCAAATGTAATTATAAATTAAAATCTAGAAACTTAGTTCATATTTGATTTAGTTAAAAAGTTAATAATTAATTTTAACTGGACAATTCATGATATTCATAATTTTCATTAACTTTTCAATCACATATTCTATTATTTTTATCAAAATTTAATAAAAATATATATCTGTTTTTTAACAAAACCAGACAAGAGTTTAAAATCTTGAAAAAAAAACACCGTTCTACAAAAATCAGTGGGTTCACTTCATGCTAAAATTTATTTCATCAACAATTTTTGGAGTGATGATATTCACAATGAAAACTACTAGTAGTCGTCCTAAATGATATACATGTGCAGATTTGTGATTTGATGCACGTTTCAATAAAAAATAACCAATGTATCAAATTACAAATCGTCGCATGTATGCCACGTAGACGACTACCGATGATTTTCACTATAAATAACATTACTCCAATTTTTAATACCATTTACCTTAATCAAATCAATGTTGCATTTTATGTCCCAAAAAGATTAACCAAACACGGTAGAGTATGAGTCAAGTCAAACCTTGCTTTCTCCATTCAACCGTAACTCCTCATTGAAAAGGGGCTTTAATTCACCGTTGACCATTGACTGGGGATATGATTTTCTCGTGAAAGTGTATGGGAGCTAGCGTGTGACGCACGTGCGATTGGCTATAAATTCCAGGGTTTTATCTTTATTTTTGCTATTTAGTGCTAATTAATTAATCAGACCATTAATTCGAGTAGTTTAAATTAATTAGGCGTAACTGATTATGTTGAAAAATATTATGGAAAAAAAAATTATTCTAAAAACTCTTTGTTTCTTTAGGTCAAATTATTCTAAAAACTCTTCTAATCAAATGAAGTAATATTTAAAAAAAAAGAAATTTCTTAATTTAATAAATAACTTTTTAACTTTTCAAAAGACCTATCGATCCTTCCTTCTTTTTTGGATGTTACGTGAGCTAGACTCTGATCTCCATTTTATGTTTAAATAAATATCGATCCTTCCTTTTTTTTTTAGCATAAAAGAAAGGAATACTAGAAATCGTTTCTTTTGTTATGAGAACAAAGGTAACATATTCCCTTTCATTATTTTCGACACAATTTAAGAAAACGAGAATGTACTACTGTCAATTGTTGATCTCATCATTTATTGAAAATGTTCCTCCCTAAAAGGTTATATTTATGTACACGTTTGTAAAAAAATTTAAGAACATTAAAATGTATGTAGAGTAAATGGAAAGTCGGCTATAATTAGAAAAGTTAATGAATCGAGTCAAGTTAAGTCACTCGACTCATCCACCATTAGGCTGAGCCCACCAAGCAAGTCAACTCATGCTCACATATGGGGTGAGTCGCATGCTCACTAGCTCATTTTTTAAAATTCCAGCATAACTAGGCTCGTCCTATGGTTGGATGGATCGTCAAGTTTATTTATTTTTTATTAAAAAATTACATTTTCATTCACTGATTACGAGTTGTCTCATGAGTCAATTTGTGCAAGTTGACAAGTGACTTGAACGAGGTTTTCGTTGCAGCTCGCATGTCACAGCTAGTCTCAAATGCGAGTAGAGCTATTAGGGATAACAACATGGCGGATATGAGAAGAGTATGTCATTCCCATCCCGTCCCGTAGGGTATTTCTGTCACATTCCCCCGTCCCCATACCCAGTTCAAGTGGGACTAGGACGAGGCATGACAGGTCCTCTATCCCATCTATTTTTTATTTATTTTATTTTTTATATATCTTTAATTAGTAAATATTATTACTTTCTTTTTTTAATTTGTTAAGAACAACTCATTTTCTTTAAAAATGGTGATAAATTTTTATTTTTGTTTAATAAAGATTTAAATTTAAATGGGGAGGGAATTATGATTCTTGTACCCTCCTCATACCCGTTTCGCGGCAATAACTCCCGCCTCGTTCCTCGGTTAGGCGGGTAATTTTCACCCAATTCGAGGCAGGCCAACAGATATTGGATTGAAGTAATTTTTTTGTCATCCCTACGAATTATCTAGACTAATTTACGAGGAAGACGCTTCACTTAGCACCCCTAACCATAAATATACATTTCTAGTTTTTTTGTAAATAGTAAACATTACAATCTAACCTAAGTATCAATTTTTCCAACAATGGTGTCATCCAAAATTGGTCAAAACCTCCCAAGCATGCCCTTAACATTATTCTATTTTTATCCATCGATTTTCAGAATATAAGTGGGGTGCTTAGGCGAGGGAAGTCACGTGGGAGAGCAAAATTGGTTCACGTCTATCTGAGCATGCATTGTTTACCCAAGTGGCAGCACGTGGGCCATTGTAGAGCAAACATCAGATCAGTGCCACCGTGTCGCTTTTTAACCCGACAGCACGTGGCCACAATCATTGCTTTACAAATCTTTCCATCTAGCTTCTCCATCTCTGCCCTTCCTTTCTACGCGCTTAGCTGTAGTTGAAGCACGCGCCTTGTACAATTTCGTAGAAAGCCTAACCCTTTATTATTTTGGCCTCATTTGGCACCCATTTTCATCTAATTTTCATTCTCATTTTTTTCTTCATTTCAATCACATATTCTTTCAATAAAATAATATTACACACAAATCTAAAACTTTTCATAACTTTTCCACCACATAATCTCCCATCAATCACTATTCCAAAATTTTCATTCTCCAAAAAATGGGTTTCAAACACCCTCGCAG